GAGCGGAGACCACCTTCCGGTCCCGCCCACTCACGACGTGAGGCCCAATCACCGCTCCCCGCCGAACCGTCGCACCCAATCGACACCCGGCAGCGCGGGGCGGCGCCATCCCTCGGCGGCGGCCATCTTGGGGAGGTCGCCCCCGGGAGCGGCGGAAGCGGGCTGGCAGCGGGACCGTGCGCGGTGTCGTCCCGGGGGGCTTATCTGTGGCGCACAGTGCGGCCTGTCGTCGCGGTCCTGTTCTCTCTTAAAACGCCTGGCGAGACTGGCCCGTCGCCGGCCCTCAGAGCTGTGAACTCAAATTTGTGGGCGCAGGGATCGGGCTTAGAAGTTGCTGGGGCGGAGGCGTGGCTTTTACTACGTCAGACGGTGGTTGTGAGGAACCGTTTGGAGGTGTGGGAGAAAACGCTCGCTGGAGACATGGCGTGGTGCACAAGTACGGCTCTTTTTGTCACCCTTTAGACAAGTACCGTCCAATGGACATATATCGCGACCCACAGATCCGTAATTTAAAAATTTCTGATAGGCATTTAAAAAGTAAAAAAACCCTAATATTTTATTTAGCCCAATAATATTCAAAGTGCGATTTCAGCACGCACGCAGCGGAAAAGCTACGTGGGACGTTTTCTCGGCTCTCGGTTCCTGAAGCCCGGCCTAGTGCGGAGCCGGAGCGCGCAGGCCGTTCGTGCCGCCCGCCCTTCAGTCTGTCAGGCCCCTCAGATCAGCGACGGCGCAGCCCGTGGTCTGGCCTGAGCTCAGCGCACGCTCCGTCCGGTTCTTGAGACTTTATGTCCAGCGCTGAGGGCAGGAGGGTCAAACACGTGGTGCGGCGCCGGACAACGGAGACGAACAGAGTCCTCCGTGTAACAGCAGATGGTGACATGCAGCCAGGCAGCTCCAGCGACGAGCGTCCTCCCGAGAAAGGCAGAGCGGTAGCTGTGGAGCAGCGCGTGTGCACACGTGGAGCACACGTGCCGCCGAAGACTCCACACCTAGGCTCTGTGCTGAGGCCTCTCACTGACTGAAACGCCGTCATGCGGCCCATGACAGGAGGAGGGGCTATGGGCGAGCAGAGAGAGACCTACTTGGTTAAGGAAAGCACTTTTGGCTGCAATTACTGTTGAAAGATTCTCAAACGTTAATTCAAATTAATGAAGCGGGATGCCTTTATATTGGAGAAAAGGATAGAGTTTGTTCTCCAGGTTTTGTCTGGAGGTGGCTGGGTTTAGTGTCTTCTGGAAAGAAGAGGCAAATACCTCCTCATTCCTTTTCCCAGATTCCAGGAATAGACATGGAATTTCACATTTTATGCTCTGGGAATATCACTTTGAGCAGGACCTCGGGTCCTGGCAATAAGGGACTTCATTTTGGGGAGTCTCTGGTCATTTACCATGGTTCACATAACTGGGTTATCTGTAAACTACGATTGCCAAAGACATTAGGAGAAATTGTGTTAAAAAAAAAAACACAAAAACATTTCTACTACAACAACCAAAGTGATAAAAATTTTAAAATGACCTGAACAACAGCCCTTCATGGTATGAGCATAATAGGTGTTTGCTGTAGAGGTACGCAGCTGGAAGGAGCCTAGCCGGCAGTAAGTGGGGGTAGGAACAAAGGGGATCAAGGTGAAGGGATGTGTAGAGGAAGGCTTGGGTGAGCACGAAATACTTCAAGTGACATGCTATTTGGAAAACATTTTAAAAACCACAAATACCTCCTACAGGTAGGGAATGTATAACCCAGGTGATAGTAATCCAGGTCACTATGACAAGTAGCTGTATTTCCATTTAATAGATCAGGTCTCTCTTAGAACAGCAAGGTCATCCCCCTATGCCTTTATCCATTCAATAAACATTTATTGAGGCATTACTCCCATAAAGGAAACTTGGGGGAGACCAGGATGAGTAAGAAAGGTTTTATTGTGGTTCTACTTCTAAGATTTTTATCTCTAACATTCTATGATCTTATGAAAATGGAGTAGGGACAAAAAGATCATGGTGACCCCAGTCCACTAACATTTCATATACCAATTTCTTTACTACTTAATTCTGCTTTTAAATTATTTTTATTCCACTTATTTGTCTCCTTATTTTCTTTAGTTTCTTCACTTCCTCTTCCTAGAACATCAACCATCCAATTTAACCTTTCATCTTCCCCTACTACCTAATCCTCGAAAAATGCAAGTCCAGAATCACTGCATCACCAATAATTGTCTTTAAATTGCTCCAAGGGAAAGATTAAAAAGCCAAGTACCCAGAGGAACATCTGATAAACAATCTAAAACCTAGTCTACTAACTCACCGTAAATGCCAGCAAGCTTTTGAAACATTCACCTCCATAGTCTACGGCCCTGAATTATGAGAAGAACATGTTTGGATTTTAAAATTGTTTCCTTCTGAGCTTACACTAATTCTTTTGGGGGGATAAAGAAAAGATAAAATAATAGAAAGTTACTGTTGCCTGGTTACTTGGGTCTGAAGAGAAACAGAAATAATGCCCATGAACCAGTTTAAATGAATTCGTGTAGAATAGCCCATCACAGCAATCCCTCTGCAAACATGCTGCCGCACTTGCAATACAGATTAAAATAGCAATATAGATTCTAGACCCTAGACCTGCAGAGGACCTTTAGAGATCATTTGATCTTTTGAAGAGAAAGAATGACACGTAAACCATCCCAGATAGCACAGAATCTTCCCAATTTCTTTTTCTTTTTAAAAGGCTGACCGGTAAGGGGATCTTAACCCTTGACTTGGTGTTGTCAGCACCACGCTCAGCCAGTGAGCTAACCCGCCATCCCTATATAGGATCCGAACCCATGGCCTTGGTGTTATCAGCAGCACACTCTCCCGAGTGAGCCACTGGCCGGCCCTGGATCTTCCCAATTTCTGAAGACCATGAGAGAAGAAAATGTTACCCATGCTAATTCATGGGGATTTATTTATTTTCTATTTGCAGATTACTTCTCCCCATTTCAAACTTTAGCCAGCCTTAAGTGAATTCTTTTAAAATCCTCCATTCTTCAAGCTAATTAATTTCCTCTTCTTTGGTCCCTGAGGAACTAGCTGACCATTACACAACTTTTATAAATGTGAAGTTGTTAAAAATCCCTTCTGCCTTTTCTGGAGTCAACCCATGAGCTTTATTTTTTAACTACTTTTTTTGTTGTTGTTTTTCTAGCCTCTTTAAGAATTTTTTTTTTTTAAATTGGATCCCGGAACTGGAAAATTCCTCTCAACGGGCCAAACCAGCTTATTTTCTACATGCTGCATTTCTGTAGAGGTGTGCATTTTCAGTATCATCTTGGATGCGTTGCGGTGATGCTCCCTTCACCTTTATGTGCTGTCCTCTTTGTAATCTTATTCTACTACTTCCCCTTTGTTTGACTTAAGTGGTACCCACTTAATAGTTGTGTGCTTTCTAGCCTGTTTTTCCAAATGATTGAAAGTAAGTTATTTTTGAATGCTTACACATGCCAACCACACTGCTACAACCCTTATTTCATATATTCCACTCAACCAATTTTATAGATGAAGAAACTGAGGCTTAGAGAGGTTAAAAAAACTTATTCAAGACCACACACCCAGGAAGTGGTAGAGCAGGGATTTGAACCTTGGCAGTCTAACTCTAGTAACTACCTATTCAATTTTAAGTTCATATTACATGTGTGGCAGGCTCTCACAGACCAATAGAGAAAGACTGGGAGCACCATTAAAAACCTGTGAAAGCCTGGGCTAGGATTGTCAGAGTTGGCAAAAAATACACAATACCCAGCTAAATGTGAATTTCAGATAAATAACAAATACCTTTTTTAATACAGGTAGGTCTCGTGGAATACCTGGAACATATCTGTACTAAAAATTATGTGTTGTTTATCTGAAATTCACATTTAACTGAGTACCCTGTATTTTACCTGGCAATGATAGATTGGGAAACTTACCAGAGCAGAGACTGGGTCTTTCCCACTGAATTGGCATCAAAATGAATTTTGGGTCAATTGAAAATATCTCTGCCCTTTAGAGCAGAAATGCAGTAATGTATGAATTCTTTAATATGATAAATCTCTAGAGCACCTACCAAGAATTATGCCATGCTCACAAATTAGTTTATTGTTTCTATGTTGATAATGGGGACAGATTTTCTTCTGAATATATTTTGAGGGAAATCTACTTAACTCACTAGTCAGGGATTTTTTAATTTCTTTATTTCACCTATCCTAATATTAGCTACTGCTAAATTTCACTTTAATAAAAAAGTAAATGCAGACTCATTTTATTTAGCAGAACTGAAAATAAAACTAAGACATAAATTCAAGGAGACTTTTAGTGTGGTCCAAAACAACTCCTCCAGCTGTCAACCCAAGGCAGTTAATCCAGCAGTATCACTTATCGAATGATTAAAATGACAAGAATGACTTCTCACTTACAAAGGGGGTCATTAAGCCCTCAGGGCTCTTTCAAAGTAGAATTCGTTGGATTATTCAATCACCAGGCTACACAAAAGCAAAAATAAAAAGGAATGGAAATACAAACAATATGACTGGCTGTTACCTCTTTTATGGGAAACAACAAAAACAGTGGCTAGAACCCTACTGAATAGGACTAAAGAAGTAGTGGTTAAGTTCATAGACAGAGTAGCCACTAGCCAAGATACAGTTTATCTTCAATCAAACTTAAATAGACAATTAAGGCAATAAATACGACCACCTTACTTGCACTATTTACTTTTTGAATGGTAAAATTATCAGTGTTCAAAGATACACAGACCCACAGAAACTGCTACAGGTCATTTATAAAACATCTCCTTTTTTTGGATCACTACATTGCTAAGATTCTCTCAGTGATTTACCCCAACTCCTGTCCCAACTTAATATGATCACAGATCCTTCTGAATCTATTTTTTTTTAGTTATATAAAAATTATTAACAAACTTTGGTTTCCTTGCAGACATTCTGTCCCTATATTAAAAAAAGTGATTAAAACAGTACTGAATATGAATCGCTTCTATAAAGTTTAATGAATAAGAAACATTCAACCAAGGTGACTTTTCCTTGGAAAATCCTACAAAAACTGAATTTTATAAACAGTTACCTATTTTGATAGAAGTTCCATTTATAAATAGCAGCCATCACTCCACTGCCTACAAAATTGCAGGCTCTCACATTTTACATGCTTAGAATTCAAATGTTTTAAGATCAGATTTTCTAGTGTTAAAAAAACAGTCACACAGACAGATGGGTTAGTTGTCCCATGCTAAGGAAACAGCTGACTTCCATGATTTTACTGTTCAGATGGGTACAGACAACCATAGGATTTATGCTAATGGGTATGACAATATATTTTTTGTTTAAAGACAGAGTGACATTAACATTGGGGGGGGGGCAGTTGCATCAGGACTTTATTCTATTGAGGCTCTCACAGGGTGTCAGTACCAGAGAGGCTTTCAAGTTAAGATCCTGAGCAAAGCATGCTATTTAGAGAGGCTAAGATATCCCTGCTCCTGAATCCATTATAGTGAAGTGTTGTTTTCTGAGGCCCAGGCAGCAAGAGCTCAGAGTAAAAGGAGCAGACATATATGTGAATAGGGCATACTGGGTGTGTCATGTTGCTCCTTACAAGTGATTATTAGCATTGAAATGGGAGGAAGATGAATGTATTTTAATATTTATCCTGTGCAGGTCTTAGGAGATCTTCTGCAAAGACTTTTGAGCACATTAAAATCTGTCACTCCCAGGAACATTTTGCTACCTGCACGAAGTGTGACCAGGACCAGATGTTTGAGAATTCTAAATCCCAGGAGTTAGAACAGAGAAGGGCAACATTTGAAGGGGAGTTAACACTTTCTATCTTTCCAGGCAGGCTGAATGCTCCCCAAACTCCTGACAAGCCTGATGTTACTGAGGAGCAAGTTGGCCCGAGTTCTGGGACCATTCAGTAAACTAGAAGTCTGGGCATGGAACCAAAAGTGAGGTGAGGCTTGGTGCCAGCAAGTATCATTCACAGCATTCACCTAGGGAAGAGAGGTACAGTAGGAGTTTTGGGGGTGGCAGCTAATAGTATGGCTGACTCCTAACCTAGAGCTGGTCATGGAGGGTACCAGTGAGCTTGTGAGTGAACCCTAGATAGTTGCCCTCCACATAAGAAACCTGTGCACAATGCATGGGCTGTATAGATTACATCCCCCACCCTCCACCCCAATTTCAGGCTATAAAAAAAACCTCTGTTTCGTTGTCTCTCCCCATCCCAAATCTCCCAGGGTGACTCTAAACTTTTCTAACTATTTATGAAAAAGAAAACATTCTGAACAGATTTTGACACAGCCAGTCCAACCCAGGGACTTGGCATGAACTCTGACTTGCATCCACACAGCTGTCTCTGGAGGGTTAGCATTCAGTCTGACCCCTGTGTAGCCACCTGGAGCCCTGGATTTAAAAACACATGCTATTTAGAGAATAGGCTCCCTTTTATCACTATGTCAGACAAGCTCCCAGCACAAGCCATAGGCATTAAGACCAAGAAATCTCTTGGCTGACTCTTCCTCCCCCTCCATACACCATGTAAGAGCTTTTCAATGTAGAATCTCCACAACAATAAAAAGACACTTGATCTCAAGGTACATACATAATCTGCTAAGCAGGTACTGCAGTAGCTAATAGATATAATGATCCCACTTCAGCAGCTATTAAGACACTTCAGTTGTCTGTTCCTGTCTTCTTCGTGCTGAGTGGAACCAATGAACAGATTATTTGGGAAGAAAAAACCAAATCACAGAATAGGTGAAAAGTTTCAAAAAGAATTGTGTGGTGATGACCAAGCTCTGACTGTGGAAACAGAGTCAGAAACCACCACTCTTTGAGCCCTAGGGCAAGGAACATGGTATATAGAAAATCTTGTAAAACCTAGCACCAGTTCTTCTTTATGAGGGCTCAAAAGAGTAGGCCTCCGAAATAACTCGCACATGCACTGACAAAACCACCAGGGAAGTCCAACATTCTCTGCAGCTGTTTCTCTATGGCTCTGCTGCAAACTTCAAGCATGTATTTGCTCAGTTGCTGGCCTCTCCCACGGGCATCTCCCACCTTGGAGGCAGGGGTGAGAACAGTGGACTGCATTTTCTCAAATAAGGGAAGTCAAACCATCTGGAGGCAACACCCTGCACTGCTCCCACTCCTTAATGATAGCATCTCTAATTAAGCCAGCTTTAAAGGGACAAAATCAGTGCCTGGAGGTCGAAGGTCAAATCCATGGTTTACAAATCTTATCATAAGCAATCTACTTACCTGAATAAAACCCCAAATCATCAATCCCTGCCCTGCCCTCCCAGGAAGGGGAATAGATTTAAGTCCATTTCTTCTTTTTCACCACAGTAACTCGAAGAGAGTCAGAGAAGGTAGTGTGGGAGAGAGGAGCATTCTGATTCACCTTAAAAAATAAAGATCTCTTTAAGTGTCATCTGAGGTTGTATACATTTGTTTTTCAATTCTCCTTAGTGGCCACCTCCAAGGGCTCATCTTCTAAGCCAAAGCTTAGCTTGTCAACTAGCCCCTCAAACTGCTTGCCCAGACTGCCCGCAGAGTCCATGAACATGTTAGGGATGTCTTTGCCAAAGTAAATCTTGCTGTTGGAAGCAATGGCCTTGTACTTCATCAGCTGCAGATATTCAGGGGTCAGCTTCAGCTGTGTAAAAAAAGTAAAGAAGACTTAGGTGGAACCATATTAGAGAAAATCTTGGGTGGTACCCCTTCAATTTCCATATAGAGAAGGCCTCTGTTCAAGAAATATGGCCCCTCTACTATTCACGTCTCACCGTTTCCTTAGGAACAGGGTAAGCATTTCTCTAAGAGAAAGTAATCTCAGACCTTCAAGACAGAGTTACAAGAGTTTTAGAAGTTTCCCTGGTTAACAAAGAAACTATACTTCTATAAAGGCACTGCTCAGGAGAAGGGAAGAACCTGTCCCACACAGCACGGGAATCCTCAGTTCTAGCCACGAGGGGCTTTGGATGGTGGTGGCCATTCAACATTGGGAACTCTCAAGCAATATAAAACCAAACCCAAAGACACCTGCCGTCAGGCTGTGCTGGCTGTACCTTGTTGGCTTCGGCTATCTTCATAGCAGTGTAGCACTCGGCATCAGCCTTTGCCTTCTCCCGGGCCAGAAACGCGGCATCTGAGCAGGGAAGAGAGCAGTGAGCTGGACGAGGTGCAAAACCCACGTGTTCTGCAGGAAGTCAGAGGCTAGACCAGGCGATAGGCTGGTCCCTGTAACTCCTCCCCTGACTGTCTCTGTGACCTTGGGGAGACTGCTTTTTTCCCTCTGTGCTTTGGTTTCCTAGGAGAAAGGCATTTTATCCTATTGTACAAGTTGTTGTAAGGATCAACTAAGATGAAAAAATGCTTTGAAACCATCTCCCTATGATGGGGATGAGTTATAAGCAAGTCTACTGCTGTGCCCCCAAACATACATTTGGACAGCATTCTGGAAAGCAAGCACTGTTACTGAGAGACACTGCCTACTCTACACGCTTACTCCTTTTGGAGCTCCACAAAAGTGAAGCAAGCGGTGGGACCTGCCTCAAGCTCCAGTTCCAGAGCGCTCCACCTCATGCTTCTTGTGCTATGCAGCAGAAGCAAGAGAAGCCCAAAGGAGGCTCTGAATATGGCCAGGGATGGATCCAGAAACTAAAACATAGTAAATACCATAACTAAAACTGCATACCTTAAACATAATATAAATCAGTCCCTCTCCATCTTTGTTTCCCTTTTATTTCTATCAATCATTTCAAAAAGGTCCTAATTAACAGTGATTAAGCTGGCACAATCCTAAGACAGAACTGCAGCCATGGTCCAGACCAACACTTGTTTGGATTAAGAACTATTTAATTCCATTATGAAAACAATATACTTCCCTCATCAACTGAGACCAGCTTTCTGTCAAGTTGATGTAAAATTTTTGATATTTACTCCCTTGCCTTGAAAATGAGGACAGCTTCATGTGAATAATATTTGTAGCAAGATGCCTGGGGAGAAAGGTCAGTCTGTGGGTGGTGAGGGCATTCTTACCGCATGCCCTCGGAGTGACCCTGGGTGGAAAGAGCCTGCAGTCTGGCTGGGGTTCTGGCTGCCATGTGGCTGACTCAACTGACCTTAGCACCTGATGACAGGTATTTATAAGAAATAAAAGTGTGTTGTTTTGCTAAGAGCTCCCTAATGAGGAGCTGCTGATCTGTGAAGTCCTAACTGGCTCCTCAATGGGACCCTGCAAAGCCTGACAGGCCTCATAATGAGTATAACTGGACATAACACTGTAGACTGAAGCTGGATCTTGAGGTCCCATTTTGGTCCTGGAATTTGCTTGACATAAGGCACCACATGAAGTGAAAGGTGGGTGGTGGGACGGAGGTGAGGGCTTAGGAGGAGGAACTGAAGGTGAATGATGTTCAGAAAAGCCAGCAAAGAAAACATTTCTCTCGAGCTCCAGTGTCATTGGTGCTAAAGAAGTGTTTATTTCAAACCCAACTTTATATCTACATGCACTTTGAGAGCCTTCAAGACCAAAAAAACAGTGCTGACTTTTGAGGAGGACATAGCGAAGACACGAGGGAGAGCACTGGTCTTTTTGCCTCGCTTCCTGGTTTACTCGCAATGCTCCGAGGCCCCTCTCAACTGTGAACTCCAAGACAGCAGGGACTATGTGATTCTCCTTTCTTGATGTCTAACAAAATGCTTAGCACATGATGGCACTCAGCCAACACTTGCTGAATGAATGAATGAATGCTCTCTGAAGTAGAAAACTGGTGCTAGCCTCAAAACTCAAGTCTAGGCACAGAGAAAAGCTGACGTTTCAGAGAAAGCATGACATCTTAGAACAGAGACTGAAGAGCAAAGGAAACGACCCTTCCACCCACTTGCCACAAAGAGGGGTCTGAGGAAACTCAGACATTGACATCACTTATGCTCACCTTCAATTTCCGAAATCTTCTTCTCAGTCTCCTTCTCCATCACTTTCTGCCCATAGGTGATTTCTGCAACCTGAGCTACTTTTTCTGCCTCTGAAGAAATGAAGTTGGAAAAGGACTTAAATATTTCAAAAGTCTGACTCATCTCACCTTTTACCTGGTCTGAGTGCCCTGACGCACAAGACTGGGTGAGCTCAGATGGAGAGCCCCTGCCCCAGAGGGCAGCCATGACAGGCACATGTGGGCAAAAATGGAACGCAGCAGTGAGCCCAGCACCAAACCACCAGCTCACAACAGTACCTGAGGAGATCTAGGCCCGAAAGAGGCGAGGAACAAGCCTTAACTTCTCTCCTACGCCACAAGCGTACTTCTCCCAAAGGAATATTTTAAGGAGTAAGGAACTAATACATTTCTCCCTGGCACTTCACCGTGCGAAGCAGTCAGGTTGGTTGTTGGTCAGATAGTGTAGTGATTAGGAACACAGGTTCTGGAGCCAGAGTCCTGGATTCGAACCCCAGTTCCATCACTACTTTCCACGTAACCTTGGGTATGCCACTGAACCTCTGGGCTTCAGGTCAATAAAATGAGATTAATGATAGTACCTGCCTCACATGGTGGTTTAAGGGTTGAGCTGATTCACATAGTAAGTGCTTAGAAAGGTACATGGCTCCCAGTCAGTGCTCAGTAATTATGAATTACGGATCAACAGGAAGGGCTCCTTTCATTTAAGAGATATGTGGAAACTCAAAACTCATTACTGCCAGCCATCACCTGACAATTTCAACTCTGCTTCTGAGTCTTTCTTGCATCTCCCCACCACCCCCAGCCCTTCTGCCCTGAAAGGGGATCACAGAACCACATGCAGACCAATGAGGGCCTTCTTCCGCTCTGTCTCGGCTTCCTTCTCCACCACCTTCTGTTTCTGGGCTGCAATAAGGAGCTTTGTCTTCTCGCTTTCCCTGAAGGGGAAAAAGTATGCAGCGGTGAGGCCACTACAGAGGAGCTTCTGAGGAACTTCACTGTCCCCTGAGAGTCAATCTCTTCTGCTGTTCAATGGCCCAGGTAAAAGCTGATCTGTTGCAGAAAACATCATGGCTCCCCTTCTCCTCCAAAAAACTCATTTGTGGGAAAGAAAACATAACTTACATTGGTAAAACCTGTCTATCCACTTACTCCTCCTTCCCTCCTCTCTCTACCTTTGGCATGAGCCATTGAACGTAAACAAGGCCCCCTGGCCCTTTTAAAAGCACCGCTGCTCTTAAAGGTTTCTCCTGTGGTTCTCAATCACAGTTCAGGAGCCCTGGAGACAGTCCTTTTGTGCCTGCCCGATCTTACAGTGCAATAGGCTGTAACAAAGAAGAAAGGGAATAACCGAAAAGCTGGGCACAGCTTCAGTTAGCTCGGAGATGGGATGCGGTGGGCGGAGGGAGAGTGGTGGTCACAGCTTAGGCACAGAGTATACTCACATCAGCTCGTAGTTTCTGCGGATCGCCTCAGGTATATTGGGCTTTGTCACCCGCACAGCCTGGAGAAGGATAAAAATAGCAACTGACGGGAAAGTGAGGGTGGTGAGGGACACAAGCAGTTCCCACCTCCCACTGGTCCCTGATCTCCCTGGAAGAAATGACACCCCTTGGAAGAGGGGATGCAATATCAGAGGGGGACTTGCCTACTGTGACGATGCTTACTTGGATGACAAGCCCAGGAGCCATGGTGGTCAGGTCCTGTTGCAAAGCCAGTTTGAGATTCTCATCAATCTGATCTGGAATCAAGAGAGACACAGAAAAGGAGTTGTTATACTTTCTAGACAGAAGGTAGGACAGTATACGGGTAGAATACAAGCTAAAACACCAGCTCAAGGATGCACCTTACAGGCAAAAGGTCTTCCCAGCGTAGTGTACTTGTCAAAATCCAGGAATCTAAAGATCCTCTACACGCCTTTTGGAGCAGCCTGCCTAAGCAGCCCTCTACATAAGCTAAATGTGAGAGCTTCCTTCTTCTCAAGATAAAATCACTTCTGTTATTGAAAATATCAACCATGACCTATAGGGGAAATGAGCTTAAAAGAAAAACCAAAACAACAAAAACAATTCTAACATGTTTCTTGAAAGTCAGGCAGCAGTCTTTCCCTAGATAATAGGAGCAAAAGAGAAGGGAAGCTCACAGTTCTCATGAAGGATGGTAGAAGAGCCATGATAGGTCTTTTGAAAAGAGCTGAGTATATTAAATCTAGTAATTTTAGAAGTTTCTAAAAGAAATACAGACTCTGATGTCAAGGAGAGACCCAAAGAAGACTGTTTCTGTTAAGAACTCCATCAGACAACACAAGGGGAAAATTAAAATTTATAGTTCTGGAAACGAGCCCAAGTCTTTTGATGTGCTGTTTGCTTTGGTCCTGATTCCTTTGTCTGGAAGTCACATGTGAGTTTCTTTACAGACAAGTGCAAGAAGAGCTACAACTGACTCCCCTTTCCAGCTGCGATCTCAGAACAGCAGCCCCCAAGCTGCCTTCTCTGGCCTGGGCCTTTGCAGAGTTTTATAGCCCTCTTCCCTGCCTTTTGTCCATGAGATCCTCAATAAGATTCTGGAAGGGGTCAGAGAAAAAGATTCAATGAAACCAGCCTGGGACTTCTAAATTGAATCACCTCCTGTATTGTCAGCTGCCATCTGCTTTAAGTGGCCATTTCTTGGTCACCTGTGCCCAAATAAGAGCCTCTGAGAAATAGCAAGTCTCCTTCCTTTTATAGATGTCAAAGCTGAGGGCATGGAAGTTAGCTAGTTGCCAAAATAATGAACCTTTTGATTACTGAGCTTTGACTGTTGGAATTTTAAAACAGTACTTTCTTCAACTGTCCTATCAGTAAGAAAGGGATTGTTATATTTCTGCATACCAGATATGCTCTTGCAGCATCTTTGCACTGAGGAGGAAATGCCATAAAGTTAGCTCCCCCCACCTGCTATGGGTCTAACCACCTGCCAACTAGAAATAATATTACATTTCGTATTTTGTATTTTAAACAGAATACCAACCAAAGCTTAAGTAAGATGGCCTGTACCCTCCATAAGTTAATAACATAGCCATTTATCAGACTAAATTATATCTGAGTGGAGGTAGAAACCTGTGGCCCTGCACTAGTAACTTCCTGGGAAAATCTGGAAGAAGTATTTTGTGAGATGTTGTTGTTTGTATGTTACGGTAATGCTGATAAATGACAATTAAGTTATGTTACTAAGTAAACACAAAGAAATTCTTCAGGTAAACTTCTGAACAAGTATTAGATAATGTTTTTAGAAAATGGGCAAAGAGGATATAGTAGAGTATGAGGTGATGACAATTATGTTTAAAGTCAGGGCTGTGAGATCCTGGGAGGAGGTAACTACAGAAGAACTTTCTGAGTTCAAGGAACATGATTAGAGACATGAGTTTCTCCTTTATGGATACAAATAGATTCTGGGTAAGACAGAGCTTGACAGCAAGACCATGATTTAAAAGGAAAAAAGCTTCAAAGCTAATACATTTTCCCAGCTCTTCTGCAGAAGAAACTATACTTCACTAAGCTTCAAAGTTTATCTGTAAGAAGTTTTCTAACGCAAAAAAAATTAGTATTTTAATTTTCTCTTTAGAGACGTTAGAGATCCTTTGTCTTTTGTTGTTCTAAATGCATTGAAATGTTCATTTAATGGCACAAATCCTAAAACAATGGCTAGAGAGAAAATTAATATTGTATAAAATTCTATTAGTTTGACGTAAGAAAAAAATCAATGGCAAATTTACCAATTTTTTCTTAGAAGCACACCAAATCCAAACCCAAAAGAATACAAACCTGATAAAATGACTTTAGATTTGTTTTCTGCTGCAGAAAAGTTAAAAGTGATTCTGGTAATTCTCCAAATCTTAACCAGTGCAAAAGGCTGTTTGCTTAATTATGATCACTGGAAATGTCAGTGATTCCTTCTATCAACTACAGTATAAAAAAATGTTCTCACTTAGAGTCCTTTTTATAAGAATTCCTCGGAAAAATCACTGTCCAGTCCTAGTATCAAGAAAAGTTGTACTATTGGTTGAAAAATTCATTTAATATTGGCTACTAGAAAATTTCTAGCAGCAAGTTTAAACGGAATGCTACAAAAGAGCTATAACAGTTACTAAAATTTTCCCTTCCTTTGCTGCTGAAGTCAGGCTTCTTGACCAAGTAAAAAGGACAAAAGGTATCTACTTAGATAGATCCTTAAGTGGATCTTTTTTGTTTAAAGTGTTTTCCTATTCATCTCTACAGGTACAGGGTTAAAAAAAAAATCACAAAGGTTCTAGGAACTGTGGTTCTTGTCTTACTTCCAGAATGAGCTGTGAACCGTACCATTCTCATCACCCATTCCTGGGTGCCCTTCATTCAGTGTGGCACGATGGAAAGAGTACTTAAGTGAGAGCCAGGAGAGGGAGGCTCTAGCTTCAGCTCTGCTACCAACTAGCAACTGTCTCTGTGACTTTCTCGCTTTGGGCCTCAATACTCTTATTTTAAAAGGAGAATGTTAGGCTGGATCATCTCTAGGGTTCTTCTAGAACTGACCTTGTCTTCATTATAGAATGCTGTTCTAGGGACAGTGGAAACACATATCCATTCTAGTCCTCTAATTCAGCCAGAAGTGAATACTTTATTCCAGTGTTTTTCCTGTGGCCAAAGCTTGACCACCATAAGGATCTTCTTCCAATGTCATCAACATTTTCTAGGAACTCCCTTTGTGAGCAGGCCTGAGCACTGGATTCTTTACTACTTCCTGACCTCCATGTGGGCAGCTCGGAATTAGGCAGCGGCGAGAAGTAGGGCTGCTAAAGCATCAGGAGAGACTTGCTTACCAAATAGCTCGATGTAGACCTCTTGAAGTGTATGTACACTGCAGAACTGGTTCAGTTCGTGGTGGATCTTGTTGAAGATGAGGGCCTTGTCATAGTCGGCAGTATAGTTTTTCACTATGTCATACACTGGGAGGGAAGGAGAGGGTTCAGAATAAGAAAATGCAAGACTCAAAGCTTTCTCAGACATAGCAGTCCTTCCTTCCTGAGGTGCTGCGACGGACACAGGGGTGGCATGCTGGGGAAAGTAAAGTGGTCATGAGGGTAAACTGGAGGACATACCTGCATTTGGAACCAGGAAGTTCACCACTTCAATTCTGTCAAAGTAGATCATCACACCACCACTATTGGAGGGAGAATGGACAAAGAAGTCATTAGCAAGCTCTGGAATATGGTGCAGTCTCCTAAGGTGATGGCATAAGACGTGTGACTTGGTAGAAGAGGTGCAGAAGAGTTCACAGGAGGCGACAAGGCATCTTGGGTCTCCAAGTGCGAGATTGTCAGAGCCCATAGCAACAACACAATTTCCTGAGAAATCATACCTCCTAAAAATATCTCTTTGAAGAAACAAGTGAGACTTATGGGGTACCAGTAAGAAAAGAGTAGTTCATATCTTTTGAGTCAGCAGTGCCTTTTGATTAAAGCAATCTATTGCAGGAAAAAGACTAAGGAAGGTCAAAAGTTTTCAGAACTTACAAGGTCACTCTGTTTTCACTTTATTTAAATTCAGCATTCCCTTTCCCTTCAAATGTTCATTATAAAAAAATTTCAAACATGCAGAAAAGTTGAAAGAATAGTACAACACCCATATACCAAGAATGTTGAATTTAGATTCAACATTAACATTTTACCTTATTTATTTTCTTTTTTTGCTGAACATTTCAAAGTAAGTTGCAATTATGATACTTTATTCCCTAACACTTCAGCAAGCATTGCCCAGTAATAATCATATCATTACCAAGCCTAACAGAATTAGCAATAATTCCTTCACATCATCTAATACCCAGTCCTTATTCAAATTTCCCCAACAGTTCCTGTTATGAACTGATGTGTGAGCACACCTCCCCCCACTCTCATTCCAAGTTTGAAGGCCTAACCCCCAGTGTGACTGCATCTGGAAGAAAGGCCGTTAAGGAGGTAAAGAGTCTGGCCAGTTAGCTCAGTTGGTTAGAGTACAACCTTACAACATCAAGGCCATGGGTTACAATCCCTGTATAGGTCAGCTGCCAAAAAATAAAAAAAAGAAAAGGTTAAACAGGTCATAAGGGTGGGGCCCTCATCCAACAGGACATAAGAGGAACAGACACCGGAGATCTCTTTCTCTCTCCTCCTACATGCACAGGAAAGACCATGTGAAGACACAGCAAGAAGGCGGTCATCTGCAAGCCAGGAAGAGCAGTCTAAACAGAAACTACCCCTGCTGGCACCCTGATCTTGGACTTTGAACCTCCAGAACTGTGAGAAAATAAACTTCTGCTGTTTAAGCCATTCAGTCTGTGGTATTCTGTTATGGCAACCTGAGCAGACTAATACAGTTCCCATCATGTCTTTTATAGCTGTTATTTTCAAACTAGGTTCTAATCAAGGTTCACCATTGCATTTGTTTATGCCTCTTGTCTCTTTTTCAATGCAACACCCCTCCAAATACAGCGACTTTGTGAAGAGATCAGGCTGGTTATCTTATGGGATGCTCCACTTCTGGATTTGCAGTGTTTCTTTGTGTTATTCTTTACTTTGTTACTCTATCCCAGTTTATATCCTCTTGGCTTCTCAACTGGACCACTACAATAGTGTTCTCTTTGGATCTCCCACCCTGAAGGTATCTCTCTACCTTGAAGACATTCTCCATTAGTTATGCTAAAGTTGTCTTCCTGTATAATGTCATTTATCTGCTAAAAACCTTCAGTGGATTCTCATTTATAAAACAGTAAGTGACAACTTCTCCTTATGGCATTCCAACCCCTACCAAATCTTCTATGATTTTCTCTATTCATTCCACCACCTGGTCAAATCAGAATATAGGGAGCTAGCTAGTGGGCAGGAAATTTGGTAAAATCACTAAGAACGGGTGCCTCCCTTTTCACCGTCTCTTACTGCAGATAGCCAGATACCTGTCTCTTACTTATTTGGGCTTAACAGCTCTATTCTGGGTTCCTTACCTAGTTCCACAAGGTACATTCTTCACCTCATCTGTCTGGAGTGTGGTCTGGAAATAGAAGAAACATTAAATGCTATAAGATGGGCAGTAACGAACAAAGTAACTTACTTTTCCGAATCCCAGATGCCCTTGTCTTTGAATAACTGTTTGGGTCGAGCTTTGCCTTATTAAACATGAATACCCCACCTAACCCTCCTTCCTTACAGGGTATGATTCTAAACCAAGCAAAGGTGCCTATTCCAGCTTCACTGTAAGTGAACAGGTAGAGTAATAATGGTTTAGTGAGAAATACACTGGATTAGAAGTCTTAGAACTTGTGTTTACTTTTACCTCTTCCATTTACTAGTTTTGAAACAGCAGATTCCTTATTTAACCTGTCTCAGACTGTAAGAGCTGCTTGGCCCATTCTCAGGATTGTGAGACTCAAATGAGATAAGGTACTGAATGCACTTTGAAAGTCATAAAGCATGGTAAATGGCAGAAGAAACTTACGGAGAAAATGCCTATGAGGTATCCCAGGATGTTTTCCTGGGTCAGCTTAAAAGTCCTTCTTGAAAACTTATTTTTCTTAGCTGGGCATATTTCAAAGATGGCTAGTCTAACTTAGCCAAGCTATAGATGTCACAACTAATCTTACTCTTATTTTAGATGTCATTTCCATTCGTCCAGTTCAAAAACCCCCGTCTCCAATTATGTTCACATTTCTCAAATTCAAATAAGAGCCATGTTTTAAAAAAAAAATACCATGTTTTGTTTTGATCTTTTATGGTAGACTGCGATTTAAAACACACAGACACACATGACTTTTCTTTCTATATATTTAGAACAGATTCTTCTCTGGCTTTGTCTTGAAGTGAAGAAATAATTCCTAGCTGGAGCTGATGGGCCAAGTCAATGACCCCATTCAGCTATTTCAACAATCAAGTAAAGCTCTAAAGTAAATGGCCCATGGATCCTCATTCTTTATACATACACGTACAGATATACTATATACATACACACACACACACACATATATATATATATACACATATATATGTGTCAGTCTCTAAAAAAGCATTTAATTCATCCAATGGCTAAATAATTTCAAGTCATGTACTAGTCAACAGCCCAAATTTGTGGTCATCTGACTGTACCACGTAAGCCAAGTATACCTGCACAGACTTATACGATGTGATGAAAGGGAGCATGAGATGGAAACCAGGGCCGCTGGTGGAAGTCAGCAGGGCACCACCTCTGCAGAGGAGAGAAAGAGAAGCAGGTTCAGTTAGTAAGGGGTTTTTTAGTAGATACCTCTAGTGAAAAATACCATGTGGGCCAACTTTCTCTTCGGTGACATGTGCCAGAGCCATGTCCACAGATCCCTTTCTTCCTCTCACTTGGCCCTAATATTCTAGGAAGCCTGATAAAAGGAAGCTTTTGCAATGAGAAAAACAGGCATGCAGGCTAAGTGCAATAGACAGCAGAATCTCTGGCTATACTTAAGAGAGGAAGTCTGGTTTACTTTGTCATATTTGTTGAGTTTGTGGCAATCCATCAAGGCAGTTAAATCCAGTAATATAGTTATTAACTAACTGCACTAATGTTGGAGTCCAGTGACATGACTAACTAAAAGAATAATTTTAAGTACACTTTATAATTTGGCAATATAGTCATCTTTATAATCAAGTTGTATGTAAATAATAAAATTAAAAGCCTTTTTGGAGAACATGTAAGCAGACAGTGGGGAGAAATAATTAAAGGAGAGAGAAGGAACTCAATCAGAATTTTGCTATTGGCAATCCTGAAATAAGCATCACAGGGCGCATATAAGAAGGAGTTCATTAAGACTTAAAGCAAAATATGTGGTCATGAAGGTTACTAAACGGAAAGCGACCCAAGATTTACAAGTGTTACTTTGCTTTATATTATGAAGTCAAATTTAATTAAAACAAACAAACAAACAAACAGAACAAGCAAATAAAGAAAGAGTGACATAATGGGCTCCTTTATTGTTACACTACAAACCCAAGGCTTGCCTTGAGATAAATCAACCCGCAGGCTCATTTTCCTGCAATGTTAATTTCAAGAGAGTATCCCAAATTAGCAGAGAAGGCTATCTTCTCAAGTTGCCATCAAGAACTGGGATTCAGCTGGCTTCTGCAGAGTAACCTAGTACTGTGGAGCCAAGATTCCCAGAGGGATAAAGGAGAATATTTCAGGGTCTATCTGCGAGGAGCACTGGTTTCCTTCAGGTTTTGTTTCTAAATCTGTGTACACATTTATCAATCACCATCCACGGCATCCCATGGTCACTGACATAAAAGCTCAATCTAAAAAGGCTCCTCTATTCAATAAAGTATGAAGACATTCAGTAGAATCTGCTAGACAGTGACTAGGAAAGAGAGCCACTTAACAGTAAGTTGTAAGCTTCTACCTGTCTTTGCCTTACCTGTAATATACCCCAATATGTCCCTCTTCTATCTTGTGCACAGCTGAGAAGAGAGATGCACAAAAGAAACTGGAAGCCACAGCCACAACTGCTCCCAACTGAGCCATCAGTGAACCTTTATCCTAGGGAAAAGATATGGGAAAATGTGTGTGGTCCGACGTGCAGGACAAAAGCTAGGACAGTGAGAGTACCTTACCAAGCTGAACTCCCTGGAAGGGACTCATACTCGGCCTGTTGCAGTATGAACAGGAGGCTAGATCGATAACTCATTTCGTCCTTGTTCTCGGTCAACATTCCCATTCCTTAACTTTGGAATTATATTCCCCACCGCACTGAAGAGGCAGCGGCTCCAGATGCAGCCCTTGCCCAAGGGAGAACCAATGCCAACTGGGCAGGCTTTAGAATACAGCTTTCTCTTCCTGTGAACACCAATGTGCTGTCACTGGAGCCTCTCATACTAGTAAAAGGGAAGAGAGGCAGCTGCAGTACAGTGGCCCAAATTACACAGGAAGTCAAATGACAGGCAGTTGTGGCTATGTAATTCTGGTCAGAGCCTTCCAGTCCTAATTGCCTGCCATCTCAAAGGAAACCATTATTTACTCCTTTCAGAGGCTGGAGTGGCAGAGACAGCTGCCAGCAGAATTCCAACGCATGAGTCTCTGGCCTTTCGTCCCGTTACTCCTTTGGCCCTAAATGGGAGAGGGCTCTGAACAACACTGGAGCCACACTGCCTCCCACGTACTCGGGCACTCTGCACCTGACAGGCCCCCAAGTCCGTGGTTGGGTTAGAAAGGGAGTGCCCCAGGCGGGGCGACTCTGGGACACCTGGGTCCAAATGCGTTCAGATCTAGAGACTCATTTCCTGAGCACGGAAGGATCTGGAAGAACTACGGTGACCGAGAGCACAGTTCAGCCGGGCGTGCCCGGGCCCGTCCTCGCAGGGCGTGGGTTCTGCCTCCCAGGTAACTGGGCGCAGGTCCCTGCGAGGCGCTTATTTTACCGCGGCAGCGTCCGGCCACCGATGTGCAGTTGCGTCCCTTCTGCAGACGCCCTTCCCGCCCCACCTCGCGCCCCTTCCCCGCCCTCCTCCGAGACAGGGTCCTCCGCTCGGTCCCGCCTAGGGGCTCGCGGGAAGGGGACGGGACCGAAGGAGGTTTCTCGCTCCAGGGGTGGGCGGGCCGGGGAGGGGTGCCGGGGCGGGGTCTCGGGAGGACCGCGGGCCGACTGCGGCGGGGACAGCCAGCGGGCCCGTGCGCGCACCGAGGGGCGGGGGCCGCGTACCGGGCTGTCCCTCCAGGCGCTCCGTACCCGTCCGAACCCCGTGCAACCGCAGAAACCGCCACACCCCTCCGCACGCGACTTCCTTCCGGGGCCGTCGCGCCGATGACGCCACAGTTCACGCGAGAGGACCACACCCCTCGCCTCGCTCCCTCTCTCGCCCCGCCCCTCGCGCTGCGGGAGGGCCGTGTCCTCCGGGGCCGCCAGGGGGCACCGCTACTCGGCCCGGGCGGCTGGCACTTTAGAGGTGGCTCCGGGTCCCCCCACTTTTGTTTGGTGTCTTCCCTGGGGAGGTACTGGCGGGTCGCCGCCGTCCTAGCGCTTTGCCCGCCGCTTCCCTGGAGCGCAGCGCGACGAAACGTCTTTTACACGTGCGCGTTGCATCATGAAGTCGCTTATCAACAATCCCACTTTGAACTGTTCTTGAGACTTTTCTGGAAAGTTTGGCCTTGAGGTCCCCACAGCACCATCAAGTAGATGAAGAAAGTATTATTATTCCAGTTTTAATGGACGAGGACGACCAGTTAGTGGAAGCTCCTCTGCGTTTCCTTGGTGTCCGGAGCGTCCTGCCCCTGTCACACCTGCCCCAGCGCGTCCCTGGGTGGACACGTTCCCCGGGCAGGGACTGTGTCTCCGTGTCCCTCCGTCAGCGGCCCCGGGCGCAGGTGCAGCAGACTGAAGGCATCGTGCGACCAGGCCCAGCACCCAGACCTCGTGTCTCCCAGGCCCAGGGCTCCACACTGTGCCCAACTGTCACACTGGGGCATCTCTAAGTCACTCACTCGAGTTGCAGGAGAGACGGTCTAGAGCACACTTAATTACAGCTTTCAGTAGAAGAAAAACTTGCACCCAGGGAAGTTGGCAAGCTGGTGGCGTTAGACTGAGGACTCAGGGAAAGGAAATGGCTGCTTGGGACTGGCCCTCTCTCTCTCCGGGGCTTGCTCCGGGTGGTTTGTGTCGGGATAGTTCAGCACTGTGTGGTTAAACCCTTAAGTGGGCTCCATGGTGCTGTCTGGAAGCTCTGTGCCCACCCCCATAAACCAGGGCCTCTCCTGTACCCTTTAGTCGCTGCACTCCCCTGCCACCAGCACACACATAGGCACAGCTGGCCAGTCTCGGGATTGATCCATCAGAACTTGAGAGGTTTTCTCCCCGTGTTGGGTGATGTAACTCAGCAGGGCATGTTCAATAAATGTTTGTTTAATAGTTGAGTAATAAAAATGTAAAGATTGGGGTTTATCAACCCAAGGAATGGGGCTTAGCCTGCAGCATAAAGTATTTAGATAGGAAATTTAAGAATATCCTATTAAAATTTGAAATGAACTGTGAGCAGAAGTAATGAGATTTTGTTCTCAGGAGGCCCGAGTTATTTAGTTGTGGCCCTGCCTCGAGGCAGGGGGTGGACTTCAGCAGATGATGATCTTAACAGTTCAGAAAGTCTTTTTCTTAAAAGACCTGTGATTTTTATGACTCAGCATCCAGAGTTACCAAGCAGATGTCTGTGATGATTTGTTTAACAAAAGTGTTTAAAAATCCATTTTTTAAAAACTTGCAGTAGTGGTTTGGAGTACTACTTGGAGTAGTGGTTAAGCCTCAGATAGCCCATAGCCAGATTGCCTTGGTTTAAATCTTGGCCCTCTTTCTGGCTGGGAAAATGACTTTACCTGTGCCTCACTTTCTTCATCTGTAAAATGGGGGTAATAATAATATAAAGCTGATAGGACTGTTGTGAGGTTAAATAACAAATCAAGAAAAGCACACACAATGTTTGGCACAGCTCTTGCTGTTTTTAACAAAATTTCCTTAGTGTGTTCTTTTTTTTTTTTAGATTTGAAAAGTCTATGTTAAGATTTATATTATATTATATTATTTATTTTTTATTGAAACCTTAGTGTGTTCTTGCATGTTTGTGGGTTCAGATTATTAATGTAACAGAGCGTGAGAAGAGGATAAACTTAAGTTACATGTTGTTTAGTAATAACCAAATATAGGCTTATCCAAAGAAGAGATATTTCCTATACAGACTGTCACGTATCAGGCACAATGCCTTACACTTTCTACTGTAATCTCTAGGTCAGTCCTCTGAGTTCAATTCCATTTTAGAGGAGGAAGTTGAAGTTTAGAGAAGTTAAGGGATTGTGTAAGATCACAAAGCGGGTAATTACAAAGGCAGAATTCAAATGATCCCAAGTCTGTTTCTTTTTTATAGTAAAGGAATTGGAATATGATTCTACTTAAAACACAAACACACCCCACATTTTTCTCACATGTAACCTCTCAGGAATGTAGACTGGTGGTCAGAAATTGCGAAACCTTAAATCGGGCCTGTTCATTTGCAGTTGTAGGTTGATGCGGGATGAAGAATACTCTCACCCAGCAACCCACATCTTCCTATCTCTAGATTGCTCTTTGCTTGGTCCTCTTATCAAGCTAATTGTTACTGAGAGTGCCACTCCAAAGAGAGAAGAGACCCTTCTTTCCCAAGTAGAGCCCCTTTTTAATAGTAACTAGGTCAACCCCAAAGAAACCAGGCAACTCTTAAAATCTTTGGCTTCATTTCTTTTACATCACAAGAATGGAAGTTACTGGAAAAAGTTTTGGTTTGATTTAGATTTTTCTATTTTACTTTAGGCTCTAAAACAGAGAATAGAGGTCATCTTTCAGGATGTTTGATCCCAGTAAGATTTTGGTGAGCTTGGGGAAGAGGAGTGAACTATGTTCTTAATTATTAACTGGCTTACTTAGAACTTTCTTCTCTCTCTCTCTCTCTCTCTCTCTCTCTTTTCCCTTTCAGTTGGAAAAACCAGGATTGGTGCCTTCCAAAAACAAAAGATATTTGCTTGGGGCTAGTGATGTTTCTTTAAGGCAGATGGGTAAAGGGACCAAAGAGTCATCAAGAAAAAAATTGAGTTGGAAGTCAGTTGGAAGTCACCAAAATGTCATTTTGTGATCATATAAAAACATATAAGCTGTAAAAACACAGCTTTATTGAGGTATAATTGATATATAATAAACTGCGCATAAAGTGTACAATTAAAATTTGACCTGTATACACCTGTGAAACCATCACTGCAGTCAAGATGATGAACACATGCATCACGCCCCCAAGTATCCTCACACCTCTTCGTTATTTCTCGCTCCTGCCCCTCTCAGGGATGCGCCTCCTGCATCCCCCAAACCACTGCTCTGCTTTTGTCAAGCTAGATTCGTTCGCATTTTGCAGAATTGCATACAAATGGAATCATAGAGTACATACTTATTTGGGGAGGGTGTCTGGCTTTTTTTTAAACCCAGAATAATCATTTTGAGATTCATACATATTGTTGAGTATATCGATAGTTCATGCCTTTTTATTGCTGTGTAGGATCCCCTCGTACAGCTATACGACAATTTGTTTGTCCATTCATCTGCCGATGGACCATATAGGTTGTTGCCGATCATTTTAATCCAACCTGTTTATTTTACTCAGGGAGGAGCAGAGGCCCACAGAGAGGAAGTCTCCAGAAAGGGGAGTTGGCTTATAGCACATTTGGGTTCATAGGGCGCTTGGGGGGTGACGAGAAAGAGTGGCCTGTTACCCTGGGATTCTGTGCTAGGAGACCTGGAAGTTTGCAGTTTGGCTTGGCCTGTTTTGCCTTGGATGACCTTTCCTTTGACATCTCTAACCCTCTCACTCTGAATATCTATCATAACACTAGGAATTAAAAAAAAGATTGTGGGGATTTTATGTACATATATTTATATATACATCTCTCTGTATCAGTGACAGATCTTTTTTTTGCCATAGGCCAAGAGATGCCTGATATATTTGGTATGTGACTCTCAGAGGATAAGGTAGCCCGTGTCCATTCTAGGCCAGTCTTTTCCCCGTTGGATTCTTAATCTTATTTTCTTTGCTCCTCAGAGGCATAGAACCTTAAATGATCTCCTCTTTCCACCAGTTCTTCGGCCTCAGCCTACAACCTTGTGCAAGTCTCGCTCTCAAGTCTGTCCATCGATCCTGTGTAAGTCTCTAGTTTTCACCTTATTTGAGCAAAGTTTCTTGAGAAACAGCCTACAGTTGCTGTCCCTCATTACTTACTTTCCATTCTCTCGTCTTTACCCACCAGTGCTGGTCTCTGATGCATTTGGTACTGTTGATTAACCCCCTAATGCTTAAAATCTCCCTCCTTTGCTCTCCGTGAATGACGCTGTCCCTCCTGGCTTCCCTCCTGTTTGTCCAAATGTTTCTTTTTTCAGCTGTCATGAGCTCATCCTCAGCTACTGCTCGGAACTCTATCCTTGATGTGCTGTTCTTCTTTGTCTACTTTCTCTTTCTAGAAGGTCGCCTGTGTGCTCAATATTCTGATTACGTGGTTGCTGGTGACTCTCCTAAATGCATATCAATAATCAAGAGCCACAGACTAAAATATCGTTTTTTTAGATGTTGGACGGTGACAGATGAGTCATTTTTAAAACTGAACTCATGGTTCCCCTCAAATGTACTCCTCCCTTTAAAGGCATCACCATTTACTCATCCATCCAAGTTAGACACCAGTCTCTATCTTAACCTGCCCTGTCTAAGATGTTGGACGGTGACAGATGAGTCATTTTTAAAACTGAACTCATGGTTCCCCTCAAATGTACTCCTCCCTTTAAAGTCATCACCATTTACTCATCCATCCAAGTTAGACACCAGTCTCTATCTTAACCTGCCCTGTCTACTGAGTCATGACGTTCTAAGTGTTCCATGACCCTGTACCTTCCTCTCTGTACGGTTCAGGGCTTTATCACTTCTCCCTTGGGTTATTGTAATAATCTAGTGTTAGCAATCTCCTTACCTCCACCGGTCCCTCACCCTTAAATCAGTGCACTGCCCACACTGTACCCCATGTGATCTTCTATTGTATACCTTTTCTGCTTAAATATGCAATAATAGGTTCCTTATAGAAAAAAGTTCAAATATCGTAGCTTGTCATATAGGATCATTAATGATGTGGTCTCCTACCTAAACCTCCAGCTTTTCTGATAGTCTTCTGTTTTTTGTCTTTTGCTAGACCAACTCTCACTCATCTTTCAAGACCCTTCCA